ATTAATTAACGAAGTTCACTTACGAATGCTCGATGAATGTTCACGAGTTGACGTGAACAGAAGTTGCTGATGTGTACTGCATTCGGGAGAAGCTTTTGTTGATGGAAAAATTTTGGTAGTTACGTTTGTTGGATTCATTTCTTGAACTGAATTTCAAAATTTTTAAAATTAAAGCTAAAATCGTATAAATTTGCGATCGCATCACGCGACATTTTCAACGGTACAATGTGATATGCAACGAAACAGTTACTCGACAAAACTCCTTCTGTATGCTGATAATAATTGTGCCGTACAAAGTTCAACGTACGTTGTGCGAGCCTATGGCATCAGTATGTAACTGATCAAGTGGGACACTAATTGTAAGTTGGCTGAGATCAGAGTGAGAAACGTCAGCACCTCATCGCTGAGGTGTTGACCAACTGATTGAATGCACATCAACCGCTATATTGCAAATTTCCAAGGAGTATTTATACTCCGCGGAGTCGATGAAAAACATTTGAAATTAAAAAATCCAATCTGACATAATGTCAGCTGTATGATGACGAGTATGGCACACTTTAAAAAAAGATACTTAGCAATTGTGCTGTGTCGCGCATTTAATAGTAATTCATACCTCCAAAAATAGATGTCACAAACATTAGTTCTGCTTATATGGAACAAATCATCTGCGGGCGTGACTTCAAGCAGTTGACGATCAACCTATGCGTTGAATCATACGTTCGATAAGCTTTATCTCATGCAAGGTTATTGTTTGCAGCTTTGATAAGGGAACAAAGTCCAGCGAACTATTTTTCATAAAAAAACAAAAGGATGGATATTGTCATTATATTGTCATTCTCGGTATTCATTGTGTAAATGCCATCCAACGGATGTCACTAGCAGCATCAGCAGCAGTATGACGCGCGATTAATTCGTTACTGTTCTGTTCTAATCAACTGCATTGTCACCTACAAAGTTGCGTCATTTCCTACAAACCAAACATTCAATTCATAGATGTGAAAGGTTTCCACCACTGAGATAATATAAAACCTCTCCAATTTATGGTATTTATAAATAAAGACGATCCAATCGCAGTAATTGCTACGAGACATTTCATGCAATATTCAGTGCAAATAATGCACGCGTTATGAGCAAGTGAAGCATTTGTGTGCAATGAGTAATGCTGCTGGGTGTACTGATCAGTGGGATTTAATGCCATTTTTGATCGATGCTATTATGTTCCGAATCTACGCATCGCAAAATCCCCGTTTTGAACTCATTGATAGCTAGAAATTGAAATAATCGGTCGCGCTCCTTCAATGATGTGGGTGATTCGAGTAGAATGGATATCCTTTATGATCAATCCGGATTCAGGATTGATCATAAAGGATATCCATTGCAGGATAGATTGCAATCCTGTAAGATTGCAGCATTCAATTTCCGCACAAAAGAATTCATTGACTACAGCTTTGAGGAATGGCAGCAATCCGAAGATTAATCAAAATTACAGTTGATGAGTCACATTATTATTTGCATCATGAACTGATCACCACTGAATATCGCATCAATATGACAACATTTTAATAATTGGTTAGTTACCGTACTCAGTGAGTTGCTTGTTGTTTTGCAGTGAAGGATAGGCAAGCGTAAACGCCAAAATATCCATCCGATAATATGTGATTCGTTGTTTGTATTCAGAAGGCTTGATTGTAGCATTGTAACAATCATGGATATCAAAGACGAAAACAACCAATTGATTATTCAGCAACGATAATGCACAGCGTGAGAGACTTAAGAGAGCGTGTCGATTGGTTGTAAGAGACTCAATTGATCACAACAAATATCTTAGCACTGAATTGGAGGTGTCAAAGGTCATCTATAATGCCACACTGTGTTAATATTTTCAATTTCAGTGCAATTCAACGAGAGAGAGGGGTGCGAGAGGTAGAGCAAGCGCGCCAGAACGTCGTCCATTTGCAGAATTTCTCCTATGAAGAATTTTCCCAAATTGAAAAAAAAATCATCAAATTGTTGCTTTTTGAGAAAACTCTTGGACGTGCTCAGTTTGTTGAATTCGTTGAGCATCGTTCACTCAATGTTTCTCGAAGCGAAGTGCTGCTGCTAATAGTGCTATTCTTGATGTGTTTGTAGTTGACTCTTTCTGATGGTTTGTTTGCATTCATCGATGAATTACTTTGAAATTGCCCGGAAGAAGTGGGTTTGTGACGGAATGACATTTCTGCGAATAGGAAGATGGCGATGATTTACGCGATATTCTGCGTCATTGCTAGTTGGATTATTGAAAACAGAAATTCATGCAATATTCTGCGTTGATTATTGCAAAACTAATAGCATTATCAGTATGATCATAATCGAATCGTTTCGTCGTATGAATTACGTCAACGTGTGGGTATATTCAAAAAAAAANAAAAAAAAATGGATGGATGGATTAATGAATGAAATTAAGTGCAAAATACAATTTGTGATTTGTTTTCTCGGCAGTATCGTCAACCTGAATGCAATCGCTGTTGTTGACAGTGTTCAATTTAAAGAACATTTGAAATTGTTTACGTCCAAGTTCGATTATTTACTATGAATTATCAATTCGTCTGAACCGATCCGTCAGTATTCACGGAGATTATCTCACGATACAGCGGGGTTGCGCAAGAGATGCGGATGCTTTCTCATTAACTGATCTCACCCAATCGCTTAGCTTCAACCTATGCCTCGAGTATTGTTTCCTTGCGCCTAAGACTAATTTCGATGAGAACTGAATAAAATGAAATGAGCAATCGACTTATGTCAAATGTTTCGTTGAAAATTAATGTTAAACTGAATTAGTGATGCAATTAAGCATCAATCGCTTGATGAAAACTGCTATTCATGAACCAGAATTGAAACCTGTTCAACTGGATAGATCAAAATGTTGATTAGGATGATCTGTTGTGAAGTACTGTTTGGCTGGCTAGACAGAGATGCGATTTAAATCATTCGTAATGTGCTCTTAAAAGAAAATACACAACTGTTGTCGTCAACACTCTGAATCACCTTAACAGACTGAATGAAGGCGTATCACCTCAAGCATCTCTATACTTCCTTATGGCCGTCAACGATATGACACCATTCTGTACAACGGCTTAGGCTGCAAGTTTGTGTGTTATTTATCGTACTCAATGGTGCAGAATTTCAAATAAAAAGAATAGTCAGATTTGTAGATCTCATTATTGGATCGATTCACAAATTTTGCTAACGTATCTTCCAGATACGCATCTGACTGATCCATTTCCATGTACGATTCTGGAAGCTTGAAGTAACAAAAAACAACAAATAACAACGATGAGTGACTAGGTAAAGGGGTTGAAACCTCAGCTCAATTCGATGTTGTTCCGTTTTTCCTATGTGGAAATAAATTCGTGAAAATTTAAAATTACACCTAATCACATCATTGTCTGCAAAGGATTCGGTGCAATTCTCCTTAGGCGAATTTGTCTGATGCAGTGGGATGTAATGCGATGTAGTCGTTGAAAACAAGTGCAAACTAAACGGTGAAGTCGCTTGAAACAACAAAATTTTTGATGGAATAGTGTGGAATGAGTTGGATGAGTCTAGATCAAGCGACGAAAATCAAACGATCATACGATTAATCTAAACAAAATTTTGCAATCATTCGACCAATCGGACAAAACTTGAATTGTTTGAGAACAGTGCTGATTGTTTGTTATGGACAGAAATCATAATAAAAGATCCATAACTGAAATGACGGCGTTGCACTGCAATGAAATCACCACATGAAAGATTGAATGCTAAACAAAAGATGATTATTAGGTTACGCTTTCTGAACTGATGATATCGAATCGACTATTCATGCGAAATTTTACGGATGCGTTGAAAACACAATCATGATCACGTCGACATTTTTTTTCGTTCGAATTCCGAATTTTTTCCTTCCGAATTTCTTTCCATTCATATATTAACTGGATGATAAGACTAGCACAATCTGAGATTAACGAGATACATACTTCCATGAAAAGTAAAGCCATTCAACTGTGCAATGGCCATGCGCTTACGATTATATACAGACTAAATGACATCGTTTGTCGTGATCAGAACATACTAATTTCTCTATG